GATGGGCGGTTGAAAAATGTGATAGATAGATAGATAGATAGATAGATAGATAGATAGATAGATAGATAGATAGATAGATAGTAGGCAGGAGGGGAATACAATCTTCAGAGAGAAATTGGTGGCTTACTGCAAAGTGAATTGGAGTTCTGTGATCTTTTCTTTTTCCAAATGGCAAGGGGTAAAAATGAAACTGAGTTCAGAACTCCAAATTTAAAATTACAAGGTTAAATAAACCTTTCTGAAGAGAAGAAAAAAAATTCAGAAACCAGTAGTATCCGAAACACAGATTACATTCTTACACATTCTATATTTAAGTATTGAGAACCACTGTACCAAGCTTTTAAAAATGTTTTCTTGATCTATTTTAAAGGGACAACAAGCATAGTTTGGGTATTGTGTTTTACTTTAAAGCTTCATGCCAGCATTAATTTATTATGTGGGCATAGCACAGCTGCGAAACCATCTGGCCAGAACATTCTTTAGTGATGTGATAGAAGCCCCCATTTCCTGGGCTACAATCATTTTCACTATTCTATGAAGAATTTCTCTTAAAGGAAATACAGGCTTAGGAATCTTCTTCCACCTCTGCAATTTGGAAAGTGTGAAAGACAAACCAAGGGGGGAAAATCCTTTACCCACCCACAAGACATGAGACTACATGCTTCACTGAGGGATCAGCTGATAGTTAAATAAAGCACTGTCCTCTTTTTTAAAAAAGGCTTTCAAATGGAGTTCTATACATTATGCTAATTCTTATATAACCAAACACTCAGTTTTCTTAAGTTCATCCCAAACTTGCAAGCCCATGGGATTGGAGATCTGCACTGCAACTCCCCACAATCAGCAAATCAACTTTTTTTGAGGAAAAAAAGGATCTCAACAGCAGGATGTGACATGGCATGGAGATCTGCATGGTGGCCTCTTTTAAAAAATGTCAGAAGATCCGTCTTCTGTCATGGAATAGCCTCCCCCCGCCCCGAGAATCAGAGGGCCCTAACTTTCTTGGCCTTCCGGAAGGCTGTGAAGATATCGCTTTTTCCCCAGGCGTTAGGCTGAAATATTAGGGGAGCCCACTATACGCTGTTTGTTTTACGAGTTTGCTATACAATGCCTTTTTTTCCTCTGCTTGGATTATTTTAACTTTGTCTGGTTATGGGGTTTTTTTTATACTGTTCTTTTTTTAAAAAATGGGTTGCTCACTGCCCAGAGTTATATACTGTTTTTAAGACAAGTGGCCATATAAATTGTCTAAATAAATTCATAGCAAAAAAAGAAGGAAGTTTCATTAGGCATATCCCTGAACCAAATGTACCAAAAATAACAATCTTGATCCCAGCCAAAATGATAGAATTAACTCAGAAATGTTATTGATTTCAAATGCGTATTTGAGAGATATTTAAATTTATAACATTTCAATTAATTTTAAACAAAGCAGACACTAAGTGAAATAATATTATCGATTTTTGTGATCTAGAAATGTACCAACACAAATCTTCCCCAGTTTCACATTTAATATTCAGCTGCGAGCATTGTATGAACTTTTTAAGGAAATTGATACTGGAAAAAGTGAATTTTTGCTAGCATTATCAATGGATTGGCTTTTCATACATTTAAGAATCTTCTCTGCACAGATGTTGGTGCTGTCAAATATCACAGATATCCAAAGAACTTAATGAAAACTGAATTGCTTCTGGATTTAGATGGAGAGGCCTCCTTGCACTCTATAAAGCAGGCACATCCCAATGTGCCACACCCACTGATATAAATGGGTCACATTCATACCTGCCCAAATCTGAACATTAAATAGGAGGAGAGCAACTGCAGAAGTTGGGAAACCCAAATACAAAGCTAAATTAAGAGCTTTCCTGATGTTGCTGTTTAGATTATACACACAGCGCATAAAACTATCTATGAGGCTGATAAGAGTCAACACTACCTTGATGGTACATAATCAATTTAAAACTGATAATTATAAGAACCAGTTGTTTAAAATTATTATTCTAAAAATTAGCTGGAATTGTAAGCTCATGTTACACAGCTAAAGTTAATGTTGGTGACACTGCTATCAGAGCCTTCACCCTTCAGCTGTTCAGCCATGCAACAGATGGATCCTTATTGCCAAGAACAAGGTCAATCTGTTGTAAGATTCAGTTTCAAGAGTGAACAAAAATGACTTCTCTGGATTCAAGAAGAGGTGACTGTTGGATGACTCTATTTAAAAAAAAAAAATCTATTTATTTATTTTTACTCCAAAAGCGTCCTTTCCAACTAAGGTACCCCCCCCCCCATACATCGTGAGTATGACTCCCTGAATTTACACCATAATGCCTATATCTGGAAGGCACCAAGTTGCTGAATATACTTTAAAAACATATAGTGGAAGGCTGAGTTTCTGTACTGAACTGAGTTACGGTTCAGCATGCTGGCTGGGAAATACTGGGAGTTGAAGTCCACACACCTTAAAGTTGTCAAAGTTGAGAAACACTGGGTTAGTGCAATGAGTGACTTTAGACTCAGTTTTATATTTTTATAAGATATGTTTATATTATTAAAAATATTTTATACTTTTCTGTTTCCAACTTGAAGTATGTGTTGGATTACAGTTCCCAGAACTCCTGCCCAATTTTAGAAGTTGAATTTTAATTCAGTTGGAGGGCACCAAGTAGAAGAAGCCCATTTGACAATAAGAAATTGAGTACTGTGGCATTAAAAACAGAATCCTGAAAACTGCAAGAGGAACCTCCAGCCCTCTTTTATTTCTGAGTTAATTAAGGTGGAGTCTCTTTGACTGAGTTACTGTCTATATGATAAGCTGCTAATAAATTTCTATCCCATCTAATGGTTCTTTATGTCTAGAATTTCTCCTATTTCTTTTTCAGCCTCCTCACAACTTCTCACAATCTCCTGGCCATTCAGTCACAATTAATTACGGGAACTTTAAACATTATGACATATTAAAAAATTTAAAACACATTTTAATTGCAGCAGTATTATAATAGAGATTTTATTTCACATCATAAGAGTTGTGTTGTACTGGATTAAAGTGAAGAAAGATGAAATGGTCACTGTTATAGTCATACCTCCCCTTGAGGTTTTCAAGTTCCCGGTGATGAAGCATACTTCTCATGTGCTCATCCATCTCCTAAAACAGTCAAAGTGAGAAGCCATAAATAGGTAGGAAGCTATTTATGTGTACCTGAACAATTCTCACCTACATATCCATTTCTTCCTCTGAAACAGAACTAACGTTTACTTACATGAAGTATTTCTTTCTTTTCAGAAACAGCAGTTACAGTAGCAAGAAATAAATTAAACAGCAAATTTAAACTATTAACTGGTTTACAAAAACTAGGCCATACTTTAGGCCATACTTTATCCCTGAGCTTAAGAGCTCAGACATGTGCCTTTTCTTCATAGTGCATGGTGGAGGAGGAAGAAGAGGAAGTGACCTCACAAAGTCACCGCCTCCTTCCATGTGTCCATCCAGGAACACAGGATCTGTGCATTTTGACTGCATTTTTCCCACAATAAGCACAAGGAGGAAGCATCAACAGGCTTGGGGTGCTAGAACGATTCCTCAAGATTTGTAGCTTCTGAAGTAGAGGTATTATATGGGCAAATCATGAAAGGCCCATAACCACTCAAGCTACCACATTTGGTCCACCTGTAGATTCCAGTGGTCTTCAAGGGCAGCCCCATGTGGAGTGCATTGAAATAGTCCAAACAAGGGGAGTAAGGCATGACTGACCAAGTCAAGGGCCTCCCACTTCAGGAATAGTCATAATTGGACACCAGTTGTTTTCCAAAGGCCCTCCTTGCCACAGCTGCCCATCTGCTCCTTGAATAAGAGCAGTGAGTGAAGAAGGATCCCACAAGTTACAAATCAGTTTGGCTAATAATTTTGAACAAATAAATAAAGGGGGAGCACAAACCCATCCAAAACTAAGGAGTCAGCTGGCTTCCTAACTCAAAGCCATTCTAACTTGCTGGGACTGAGCCTAAGCTTGTCCTTCCCATCCAGACTAGGTATCAAGACTGCATTGCCTGGATGACCTGGGGTCAAAATGTAAAGCTGGGTATCATCAGCATACTTATGATAACTAACCTCATATTGAGGGATGACCTTCCCCAGGTTTCAGGAAGCTGTTAGACAGGAGCAGAGAAGATGCCAAGCTGTGAGGCATCCATACCCAAGAAGCCTCAGGGTTGACCTCTCCTCCATCCACCACTGACTCCTCCACCCACCACTGCCCACTCAGGAAGGAGAACCCCACAATACAATGCCCCCCACTCCCAACCCTTGAAGGCAGGCCAGAAAGATACCATGGCTGATGGTTCCAGGAGCCATCCAGTTAGAGAAGAAGATACAAGTGAATGGTTGAAAATCTGAACATTAGTATTCCCTATTAGAGCTGTTGCTAATATCTCCTTTCTTCTGCATTTACATTAGGTAATGCTAGTCCTACAGAACCATTTCCTAAATGATTTGCTCAGATAATGAAATCAGTAAAAGAATTTTTGTCTGTGTTTTGCTGTCATCTTTATTACGCCTGGTAGGAACACATAAACTCTGAGCAGCAGGCAGGACATGAAACACATTGCACTGTGAGACATTTGTTTCCCTCTTTGCTGTATCTTGTTTTGTTCCAGCAAGGCACTAGTTCTATATCATTTTGAGTTTTCTAGAGCACAGATGCTTAACTGGATGCTCCAGAGATACAGACAACCTTTGAAAGCTTCTGAGAACCACTAAAGAAGTTGCCATCAAACTCTATTTTTTATTGTGACAAAAGGTGAAATCTAGGGAGTGATTGTATTAACTGTATTTAATTAATAGAAGCCTCTTCCTACTTTTGGAGGGCAGCTGCAAGCATGTTATCCAAACATCAAGTGTGGCCCTGGGCTGGAAAAAAAAATAAAAACCTCTATCTTATGGTATGGCTGTATTGATTATTGCTGTTTATTGTTGTGAACTTAAAAGGTAATTGTTATGATCAACAAAAGGTACCTTGAATATACTCTGGAAAAGTAGGCTTTACATTTTCTAACCAATATATAAAATGAAGGTTTCTTGGAATGGTGCTGAAATTTTAGCTTACCTTTTTTGAGCTGTATACAATGCAGCACAATATACATTTTCGTTCTCGGACCATAGTGAATTCTTCAGAAAGATCTTATCCTGTCCCTACAAATAGAAAACAGAATATTCATTAACTCTTTGCCAACTTTATAACTTTTCAAAATATCACTTATAATGAGGGCAGTACTATTCAGCTCAATAACTATTTTATTTCCATTTTCTTATTCACATCTTTATGTCTAGAGGAAGACATAAACACCCCCTTGACTCAGATATGTTTTTCACAGCAGCCTCGTATATTAACTCTCCATCAGTCTTGAAGTCAGGATTCAGAGCCTCATGGATTTGATTAGAAGAACAATAATACATTGAAGAATTTAAACATAGCAAATAGAATTCAGATTAGCAGTAACTTCCTTCCTACAACAAAAAATGAAGAAAGATGATGTCATTTAATTACATTTTTAAAATATTGCCTGGTAATTATTTTATTCTTTTTGATTCTACAGAAAAAGCAAAGATTAGATAAAGAAGAACTGAGGGAATCAGGAAACGTATCCTTGCAGTATAGAAATAATAAACAGTTCATCTAACCATGGTAAATAACTAATGCCAACAGATATACCAGTCATACATTTATCAATTTATCAATTTCAAGAAGCAGCAAAGTACAGTGGTACCTCGGGTCACAAATGCTTCTGTTCATGAACAATTCGGGTCACGAACAGCACCATTCGCAAAATTTTG